CACCGCTCATCCATTTTTGCTTACGTACTCAATGACTAGGGTCCCGAAACAAAAATGAGCTGTCAGCGCCTGTACAACCTATCTCGCAGAGCATCCATGTCCGCAGGTGATATAAATCCACTTATTTAACTTTAAAAGAGAACCATTTGAGACAGAGATTCTTCAACGATACTATGCGGCGGCAGATTTCTTAGCTTACGTTTAGAAGTGTATTAATCGACAGTGGTGACTTCTTCTGGTCTGGAAGACGACGTGCTACACGAATGGGCACAAATAGGTCATGTATAGCTGTTATCAACTGTATGGTTTTGTTCTGGACTGTCGCTTCCACTGGTCTACCCATATAGACCGACCATATAATGTTAACAGGAAAACATATTGACTCGAATCAGTGGGCGGACGAAAAATGACTACTGACAAGCTAGACCTGAAGAGTCCTGCTGCAAACACCCACCAGAACATTTCTGCTAATCACGACCTGACAGCTCCCAACTACATTAGGCACAGCTGAGCTCCACAATTTATTCAGCTGGCCTAGCTAGCTGCGGTCAGACTAAGCAAAAAAGCGCACTGGACATCAAGGGACTCTCACCAGCTACTCGATGGGTCTTGACCTACTGGTATATAGTGCACCCAACAAAGCATATTTGAGAAGGGTAATCAGAGGGCCGTGGGGGTGCCAGCGTACACATGCGATGGAGTTTGTTGTTGAATCCGAAAGGCTTCAGGCGCCGTTTTAACTTACACGTGAAACGGAGGTTAGGGGAGAAGCCCTCATAGAAAATCCTCAGTTGCAGTTTAACGCGACTACGCCACTAGGATGAACATTTTTAGTCGCAGTTGGATGAACCACCAATATCGTTGCCACCGAAACATACAGCACGGACCCACCTTGGCCAATTTTCGAAGTAGGTCAGCCGACAGCACTGAAGCGACATAAAGCACCGGGTCATGATGAACTCCCACCAGTTTTATTCGAAGGCGATGGCTAGATTCCAAGCTCCCGGGGGATACCGCAGTTGTTTTCCTTCTTCAATAGAGTAACAGAATCGCCCATCATCCCTCAAACTACCCAACTATGCGGGGCATATATTGCGCAAACCGATAGGAGACTACACTGCAAACAATGGGGTGGAACCATTCCCAGGTTATCCAACTGCGCGTTAGGTGCACCAGCGACAGCCCTCTAGTGTGCAGTAGAGCTCAACTATATCACTAACGAGCCGCCCAGCGATCGACGTCTACTTACGGGATGTCCTATGCACTAATTGGAAAGCAGCTTCTCAGAACTGGCAAGAGCTGCTTCCGAAGACCACACTAAGGAGGGAATTCTAAGTTCACCATTTCATTGGCCTGCTAAGCTGCACACCTGGTGGAGTGCAGAACGAAGCTTCCCTACGATTAGTTCTACATTTACCGACTTCTGACGCCTTCGGTTGAAGGGTACACTTTCAACACCTCTATGCGAATCGGCCTGCCATGTTTGCGAAACGTAGTCGATTCGTGCTAAAAATGACCAGTAGTTCTATAATCATTAATTGTGTAATATTGTTAGCGTCGGAAGGATAATTGGGTAATAGAGGCGTGTCGGTGACTACCCCTTTGCCCAGTCCACTGCTTCGATGGCTTCGTCCAGTTGTGACACCTGTTCCGTGCCCAGCCGCCATGCCACACAATGGCCGAGATACTGCCAGCTTGCCCAAGCCTAGACATAACCAGTCGAGATGGCTGAGTTGGGCTGGAAACACGAATCTGGTTAGTAGGTTTACATAACTACATAAATATTTCCAGATTCCACCAATTCAATATATCAATTAGGTTGGCCGGATGGCGCTTTGTGCATGCTACCAACACGTCGACCATTGCCTTTCGCACACACTCAGCCACACCGTAAGAAACCATCAATTAGGTTGATCGGATGGCGCTTTGTGCATGCTACCAACAGGTCGACCACTGCCTTTCGCACACACTCAGTCACACCGTAAGAAACGAAGTATGGAAAATAGTCACCCAGGCTTCCTGGCTAGGATTCGACGGATCCTGAGGGGACGTGGTTAGAGACACTGGAAGATATGAGGTAGAGTGCCGAGCCCGCATTTGGAAGTGCGCTGGTTACAGACACACAATCTGAAAGCGGCGTATCGCGATTCCGTTAGACGTCTGACGGTCTTCACGGTTCACAGAGATTGCTACATAGTTTCTGTTAACATGCTGTCTGTTGACATTTGCACTCAAGAGAATTTTCGGATGTAACTGTGCCGAAGAACAGTAGTGATCAAATACATAAACTCAGCGAAATGCGTGCTTGCTTGTTTCACCTTGATTATACTTGTTACCAATCGGAAAACGTTAAAAAACGGTACTACCATGTCTTGAAGATGTAGCGGTGGTTGGTAAGTTGAAAAATAGAATCCGAACAGAATATCAAACAACCAATTTACGAGTTACCTCCGCTTGATTCGAATAAACCCTACCTACATATTTCATGCTAGTAAACCTCTCGCAAGCCCCTTTCTATTACGTCCACATGCCCTCCACCTAAGTAAGGATGCGACCATAGTTCGCAATTCATATGCACGCGACCGTCCAACCTCACTAAGCACACAAATCGTCCGTGAACCATGCTTGCTGGGAACGAAGTAATGTGAATCAATTAACCAGTTAAGACGGACTAAAAGAGGGTTAGTAACCTCGGACATGTCACTGAACTGCGCGGTGTCCTAGGGGGTGCTCCGTTGTGCAGTTTTCCAGATGACGTTAACAACCATGTGATGCACTTCAAAGATTATGGCATTCAAACCAAGGTTCAATGGATACTGACCACGTGACCTATGTGCATGGAAACCCATTTTGTTTACTCGATGATGTAGTACAGATGATCGGGTCACCGTTGGTCAATAACCGCTGTGCAAGCCGATCACCCTAGGGTAGCCGTCCAAACTGCTACCTCTTCGTAGAAAAAGAACCCCGTGCGATGTGATTGCCCTAATAAATCGGCGAGGTCATCTGAAGAACCTGCCCACTTGTTCGAAAGAAACTGATGATACTGCTAATTTTTCAGTGGGCAACAAAAATAAGCATAACCACAAGTGCCAATGCGACTAACATGGGTGGAAGCAGAGAACACGTATAAGAGAACAAGTATAAGCCAGAAAAATCCTGAATGGGGGATACCGAGTATATTTGGGGCATACTGACGGAGCTGACGAACCAGTCTCTGCACAAAGCAATTCGACCGACGGGAAACCGCAAGCACTGCGTAACAGTTCCACTGAAGATATACTTGGTATTGAAGAAATAGTTAATTTGTCCGACGTACGGTTTAAGTGGCAGGTTACTAACAGCATATGCTGCACTTTCATGCAAGCACGCGAAACCGTAGTGAGTCTGTGTAGGCCGCGCAGGAGCAACGCCGTCTAAGCGGTGAGAGCGCGAATTTGCTGATCGAGAAGTCTGTGGTTCGAACCCAACCGCTGCCTCTCGACTTACCCTGTCTAGGTTTGGGCAACCTGGCAGTATCCCAGCCCTCGTGCAACCTTCGGGTGACATGGCAGTTATGCACCGAAAGGGTGCTAAAGCTGAATGATTTTTTCGTGACCAGTGGAGCCATCAAGTCCCAACCAGTTTCGTTCATGATAAAGCAATAAGATGAGATTCGTAGGCACCGGCCCCAATGACCGGGACCTTATTGTGCACCAGCACAACTTACCGCAGTTGAGGCTTACCTAAAGCCCGTCACTCGAACTGACCCCATCCAACCTAAACTTGTCAACGCCCGGAAGCATACTAACCTTGTGATGGGCTAAAACCTCATGATCCTACTTGTGACGGCCTTAGGGATGACACGTCGGACACAGGTGGAGCCATCAAGTCCCAACCAGCTTCGTTCATGATAAAGCAATAAGATGAGATTCGTAGGCACCGGCCCCAATGACCGGGACCTTATTGTGCACCAGCACAACTTACCGCAGTTGAGGCTTACCTAAAGCCCGTCACTCGAACTGACCCCATCCAACCTAAACTTGTCAACGCCCGGAAGCATACTAACCTTGTGATGGGCTAAAACCTCATGATCCTACTTGTGACGGCCTTAGGGATGACACGTCGGACACAGTATCTGCACAGTACACTTACCGATATAGTACAAAGCGACCATCAGTGGGACCTATGTTATACCTAATAGACAAACCGACAGTTCCTCCATCCGCATCGACATTATCCCACGTCGGTGCCCAAGTGCAAACTGGATTTTCAGCTCATCAGTAACTACTACCTCGGTCACACTGAATATAATTTGGAAAGCCTCAAAATATGGGGAAAAGTCAGCTGAATCCTGGGCTCCGAGCAGCAATAACGGCACCATATAAAACATACCTACACTGCACTGTGTAAGACAGATTTTCGAGTGCAAACCGAGAAACTTACCTCCGCAGGTGAAATCGTTTCCTACTAGGTATCACCGAAACGTAAGTGTCGGTTACAAAGTGTCCACCGGTAACCCCACACCGCCAGAGGCAACATATACGGAACTAAACAGCCATCATCTTCAACCTCACCACCCTTTGCGAACCTATACAAGCACGAAATTTATATACCAGACTAACTCGCCGTGCTTAGTATGTGGCGGCGACGTGCAAGAACCGTTGTGTTGCGAAGGGTGCAACGCCTCAAACGCGCACTAGATAAATTGTCTGATTGCAGTGTGAAGGGACTCCCTACATCTCGTACTCGTAATGCGACAAAGCACTGTGACGCAAATGTCGACCTGCTCACAGCCATCCGGTAGCAAAGGTAACAACCAGAGAAGGGAGACCTTTCTGAGAACGGCTTTTTAATTTCAACAGGGCGCCGCGCTAGCGATTACAACGGCCATCGAGAGCAACGAAGATCGTTCGTATTAAAGAATATATTCCCACTTATGGTCAAGACATCGTCAGCCACTAAGACAAGTAATGCTAAAAGTGGAACTAGACTTCGGTCGTCCAGTGCACTGTGAGACTCTAGGCGGCCGGTTTGCTGCCCAGCCTGTAGTAGACGTAGACATCTTTGAATTTGTCGAAACCAGCCAAGACACCGCCACCTGCAACACCGCGAAGAATGTTGGCCATTGCACCTTTCATCATTGACATGAAGCCTTCGTTACGCATGATCTGAGCTGCGCAATCGATCGAACTCTTATACTTCACGGCCTGTCCTAAAACGAACAATAAGGTGCGGTAAAAGCCAATTACTAACCGGAAGTCATCATCATGCGTCGTCGGATGGTGTCGATCGGATAGGAGATCAGCCCCGCTGTAACCGTGACACCGTATCCAAGACAGAAGCTGATAAGCACACCGGCGTCTTCACCAAGTGCGAGTGGTTTGATTGTATCGTATAGCCCAAAATAGAAACCTCGGTAGACTATAATGCCAACGCAGGAGATAACGAAACCGCGATACAGCCCAACAATACCATCACTCTTAAATGTTTTCCTACAAACGGGTAAGCAATTATGCCAAAAACTTACGCATATACATCAATCAAGCCGTTGAATTCTCGGGTTCCGCCTTTTTTCATGGACTTTGCGTCATTAGCCAACCGCGTTCGAGCATAATCCAGTGAATACACGAACACGAGTGACATGGCACCAGCGGCCCCGCCGCTGACAACATTTTTATAGAAAGACATCCAATAGGGATCATCCTTTCTGGGGTTGAAAAGCTTCTTAACCTTGTCCTTGAAGGCGAAATTCAGCGCTTGCGTCGGAAAATACCGAAGGCAGTTTGGCAAGTTCCCGCGCCAAAAAGGCAGAATGCCTAAGAAGTAATCAAGTCAACCATCCAACCCACCTTCATGCTTGAAGGTGTGTACTGTGCAATCGATCACCCCACGGTACGGCCGGTCAAGGCGACCCTGCTTGATCATCTCATCCTGGTTCTGGATGAGCAGCTTTACACGTTCTATTGGAGCTGCTGCTGTCTTAGCTATTACAGCAGCTGCCCCACTGAGCAAGAAATTCTCTGCAAAACTAAGGCCCTTGATTTCTTTTCCTCCTTCACCCATCTTGACCTGGGGGGAACTAACGCGCCAACCTGGGAACTCGGACACTTTGTGACCTGTTTAAACAAGATGTTGGGTCTCCGTGCCCTGCAGTAAGTCGGAGCCAATTATTACGTAGGAATATAACTAAATTAGTAGTCTCATACATCGGAATATGAATAAAGCTATCCTTAAACAAGGACTCTGAAAATAAAGGCCCAAAAATTGCGCGTTTTTGAATTCCCTCACGTGGGTCAAAAATTCACGAACCGATACAGATCCTAGTGGTTTACCCGGGCTCTCGAGGGGAATTCGGAGCCCTTCTGAACGGCTTCGGTATATGTGAGAGGCAAATGTGAACAGAGGTTGAAGTGCCGAGCACGAAGGCTTCAGCACCGGTAGTGAACATGTCGGCACAAAACAAACAACTCTGTTGGATGTAGTGCAGAAAATAGCAGGTGGCCAGGCAATCAGCGCGCTCACTACTCGTTAGCAGAAAAACCGTCTTTTAACAATCGTGCATGTTTTGCCTTTTTGCGAGACACATGCGTTTATCGGAACGATCTCCCAACCGCCATTGTCACGGATTCACGGACTGATACACAGGATCGAGCATTTTGACCAAGTTTCCCGGGGCGGTTTTGTTCTTGTCGGTCAGTGGCTGTCGTTCACCTGGAAGTAAGAATTAGGTACCCCCGGAGGCGGTGGTACTAAATGGGAAAGAAATCAAGCATCGCGAGAAGCGTTTCGTAGCCCGTGGATTTGAGGCCGGTGTAGTATCTGCATACCGTTGTCACATTTACCATTCTTCCTGAAATTAAACCACACTTCGTAACTGTCGTTCACATTGTATCATGGCGTTTGTTTTAATGTTACGAATACACAATTTTCCGGTGCGACCTGCTGACTTCTTGCTGAACGAGCGTATTTATGCTCCGTTGAACTGTTTGTTGACTGCTGAAACAGTGGGACTAAATCTCTGTGTTTGGGTCAACTGTTGAACGTCACAATAAATCCCTGTGACATCTTTTAGCCGTGAATAATTTTCCTACCGTGGAATATATCAGGCACGCGGAACCATCTCTTGGAAATTCCGACAGGTGAATATTTCCTTTCACAGCCAGTTACTGCATTTGGATCGGTGTGGTGGACTATTGGACCTACACATTCGTGAGTCCCCATTTGACTACTCATTACTTTCCTCTTGTGATTTTGTGAATTTGTATTGGTTACTTTGCTTGTTAATTTATCCGAACACGCTGATAAGGTCCTAGTCCGCTACACCGGCAACCATTCCCGTAGCGGCTCGCTGTACACGCTCAATGAGAGTGACGTCTTTCGTGCGTCTTGAGTGGACAACTGGAAGGAAGCCGATATAAAGTAGTGGTCCTAATCACAATATTTGTTGCAAATATGTTGAGTATTCGGTTGGCGCACACTTCCGCTACTTGCAAGTTATTTGACCTAACGTTAAAGAACCTCGCTTCCACTGCACAAACTGTCGATCGGTTCAGTATATTTGCGAGATTCAAATTATTTTCACATGTTCTCCGCAACAGGCTTCATCATTTGCGGCATCGAGGCCACACGTTAGGCGAAGGCGCGGCTGTCTTCATATCAGGAAGGTGTGTAACAATCGAGTGTGAAGATGTGGTTCGCAAGACTCAATAGCGCCCCCCTTGGAACCTACATTTACAACGATACGGCGCTATGGATAGCAATCACATGAACCAGGAGCGAGTTGTGAAATACGGTGCAGCCGGTAAGTCGTATTTTCAAGCTAAAATAATTTAGCTCCCAGTACGAGGCACGTTCAGTTTTGCATAGATGGAATTCCATTCTGATGTTTACCTACTCTCATCTGCTTTGCAACCGCTTGCGTGACGGGATATTTCATCAGCTTTCGCCTGTTAACAGCTTATTAACAACCGCTCCGATAACGACTATCACAGTCGACATTGAAAAGTGTCATATCCGCTGATTCGTCAATCTGTGGTATCTGCTGCTGACCCGCTCCAGTGCCTAATATCGGGGAAAAAGACTCACAGAAGGGAAAACAACCACTATATTCCGAACAAACAAGTGCGAGAGCGTGTGTGCGTGCGAGTGCGAGAGCAAAAGTTACACCGGCCCACGCTATTTAAAGGGGACTTTCTGACAATGATCCATGCTGCTTGATAGGCGTTAATGAACATCCATCAACATCGATCATGTCCCTATGAAAAGCCTGGACGCTGATCACATTGGGTCGTGCTTCTGTGGCGTGCAAGAACACTCATCGGGTTTTGCTAAATTAATTGAATTATTGACTGGCCTGAAAGCTTGCCAGATTTCCCGTTGAGTTTTTTTGTGGAGCAGTAGGTTCCGGGCGTTCTGAGGTTGCTTTCAAGAAGCTGACCTTCCTGATACCTCCCCATTTGGGCTGTTTAGCGTGAGATTTTCGACGCGGATAAAGTTGTAATGGTTCCATCCTTTTTCTTGTGCGACCGGTGTGGTGTCCCGTTTGCAGTACATGTGGGACAGTGGCTATAGGTGCTGGTCAAACCAGCACTAAACCAAAGGTCAAACCTTCGGGGATCAAAGGTTTCAAATAGTTGGTTGAGGTTTAGTAACACTTCTTCGCCTTTGGGATCTGGCACTCAGTCGGCCGTAATTGATTGACATGTCGTTTCCATATCAATGATCCCACTTGGACGCTGTAAATCACCTGACCGATTCTTTTGAGAACGACTCCCACAATCCATCTTCGGTGCCCGGGGCGATAGTCCCTGACAAGCACACGGTTCCCAGACCGGAATGCTAGCTTTCCTCTTGCCGGTGATTGAAAACACGCAAGTGTTGGTAGGATAACGTCATGGGTAAGTCTCAATCGTCTGTTCGTCATAACCTCCACTGGAGAGCCACCATCCGGAGACTGTGGATTAGGGATTGCTCTATATTTAAGCAGGAATGTATCCAGCACTCCTGTCGTGGTCTCCTCCCCTTCTGCCCTTGTCAACGCAAGTTTAAATATGTCAACGAACCCTTTGGCTTGATCGTTTGATTGTGGATGGAATGATGGATACGTGTCATGGGTGATGCCGTGTTTTTGAAAGAATTCGCCAAAATGATGGGATGTAAACTGAGTGCTATTGTCGGAAACAATAGTTTGTGGGATACCGAATATCGACAACAAGTGCCGCAGATTAGTGATGGTTACCATCGTTGTTGCCTCAAAAATAATAAAGACTTCAAGCCACTTATTGAATGCATCGACAATGATGAGGAAGCTTTGTCCATTAATTGGTCCGACGAAATCCACGTGGATGCACGACCATGGTTTTACTGGCTGTGGCCAAGTTTGCGGCGATTGTCGATTGGCTGACTTCTGGGCAGCTGCGCAACGGAAACAACTCCGACATAGCTGTTCCATGCGTTCATCCATACCGGGCCGGTAGACATAGCTGCGAGCAAGGGCCTTCACGTGGCTTATCCTTGGATGTCCACTGTGGAACTGTGCTAGGACACGTTGACAAAGTTCGGTGGGAATGACAATTCGGTCACCAAAGAGAAGATAGCCATTGACAATAGACAATAAACTCCATTGCTGAAAGTTTCCGGAGTTCCCCTGTTGAACTGATTGTTGGCCAGCTTGATTGGTGGTACTCCATTGCCTTATGTAATATGCTGTCATTTTTGGTGGCATCTCGGACAGCGTTCGAAGTCACGGTTAGTTGGTTCATGGTCTCCAACACCATAGCACGGATTTCCGGTTCGAAAGTTCGGTGGAATGACAATTCGGTCACCAAAGAGAAGATAGCCATTGACAATAGACAATAAACTCCATTGCTGAAAGTTTCCGGAGTTCCCCTGTTGAACTGATTGTTGGCCAGCTTGATTGGTGGTACTCCATTGCCTTATGTAATATGCTGTCATTTTTGGTGGCATCTCGGACAGCGTTCGAAGTCACGGTTAGTTGGTTCATGGTCTCCAACACCATAGCACGGATTTCCGGTTCGACGGCAACAGTTGCTATGATTGTGTCTTCCGGTTCAATTGCATGGGAAGCAATTAGGCGCGATAGCTCATCGGCCGGTCCAATTTTCTCGGTTGGGGTACGCTTTATAGTAAGGTTGTAGCCGAGCGAAATCGTGTCCTATCGTTGTAGGCGGTTGGCTGTGTATACCGTGATACATTTCCTGGAACCAAATATAGCCAGCAGTGGTTTGAGATCCGGCACAAGCGCCAAGTGTTGGCCGTTAAGCAATTTAGGGAACTTTTTCACTTCAAAAATGATGGCCAACGCTTCTTTCTCAATTTGATCGTAATTTCGCTCAGCTTGAGTCAGCGACCTTGATGACCTGAATTCCTGCAGGATTTCCTTCTGAGATATTAGTGGAGCAGTAGGTTCCGGGCTTCCTGAGGTTACTTTTAGGAATCTGACCTTTCTGATAAAAAGGCTTTCCCGTGTAGGACTGAGCGCATTGTTTGTCTCAGAGACGTACGGAATCACGTGCAAAAATTTTGTTCAACGTTGAGGGTGATTTTTGGAACTGTTGGAGAATCTGCGTGACGTACACTTTGTTTCTAGCTGTTTCTTGGGCCGAATAAGCCTTCCAACATGGTTGTGATCAAAAATTTACTCACATGAACCTTTCTAGAAGCCGGGCATATTTTCTCCCGCACACGGTTTACCAATATACCAAAAGTTGATACTACGGGTGGTTCTGCCAAACCTAGGAAGCGCACTTTTGAAAGCTAATCCTCAAACCTAAACACATGTCGTATGTATTCCTGCCAATGGACGAAACGGGCATCGATCTACTCATCATACACAACTTTGTCGGGGCGCGACGTTCAGCGCCACTGTGCGCCCAAACTGGGTCCACAAGAAAGGGGTACCATAAAATATAGGGCTCCTGTACTCACTGTGAACCCGCATGTCGAGCGCGCGCAACCCGCATGGTTGTTTTCATTCGTCTCTGAAGTGCGGCATAGCCGCTATATTTCTAATGACTCTCCAGAGGAAAATCTCAAGCCAGCATAAACACATTACCTTAAGTGTTGACTGGAAGTGCATCACATTCTTCTCTTTCGAATAGAATCTGGTCGTCAGGGCTTTCAGTCACCTGCAGATGCTGATCATCGTGGAACACGTAAACTTGCCAATCCACTAGTTTGAACCGACACATTCTGAGCCATTTTAGTTATAACCGAAAGAACCAGCTCTACGAAGACCCAAAACAGTGTTCGGAAAGTGAGAGGCAGTTGCTTTGATAGCCAGCTCCTTGTGGTAATTTTTTTATTTTCTGAATTGCGTTGTGGAGCAGGCCCCGTATATCAACGGTGAATATCAGGGGACATCTGTAATAATAATAGTAGTAATAGTAATAATCAGTTCACTCCCAAAACTCTAGTGAAAATATAAATTGATCCATAATCTGGGCCGTTCAGTTTGAGCGCGTTGGGGCAACAACGCAACGGAAAAGAAACCCTAACCAAGATGATGCGATTACTGCAGTAAAAAAATCCTAGATTACGGAAAACAAAAACCTAGAACAATAGGGCATGGTGTCCAACTAGTTAAATGATGAAACCGGGTGACCTGAAATAAAAACTAAAAGCCGCTGCTGCCTACGAGTGACCTCGGTTATTAGATTGAAACACTAGGACGAAGAAAAGCGCAGATAGATGTGAAAAGGTAGAAAATCGAATCACCAGGTTCATCGTTGATGCCTCCTCCAGCTGACGCAGCTGACTGTGGATTTTTGCTGAACGGAAATCACTGCGACAAGGTAAGTTAGTTGAAACTTCAAACCGGAAACCTTCCGCCTGATAACGATCATCAAGCCTGTTAGCACGAGTGACGTATTAAAGAAAGATCATCCATAAAAACGCCGGCCCACAATATATGGCGTCAAATCGTGCAGTTTGTGCTGCTAGCTTGCACACACACTCAATTCTTGGTACCCTGCAGATGAATAGCCGGTTTCTCTCAGATCGTTCTAAGACAGTATTGTATCCATAGCCGTGAAATCTTGCAGCCGTAGCGTCTTTAATATTATTCAACTATGCAACTTAAACAATATTATCAATATTTATCACCAAGTAGTGTGTAGCATATCGTCAGGCATGATCATAGTATTACAGTCAGAATTAGAGCATGACTAATCGGGGTTGAGGTAATGGGAATTTCCTGGAAAAGAGACGGTGACGTAAACATTGGGCAATAACGAAGTAGACTCTATCACACCTGAGGCGGCATGGGTAGGGATCCAAAATTACGAAGGCTATTTATCCCCTGTGGAGAACATATCAGTTGACACAAGATCTGATCGGTAGGATTTGAAAGTGGCGGGTAAAAACAATACCAGTGAGGGCATAATAAAACCTTCCTGCCTGGAACGTGACAAAAAACTTCAAACTGCGAGAAGTGTGGATCTAGAATAACGGGTTTGGAGAGGCAGCAGAACTGCCACAACATGACCGGCCAAATTGTACTAACACCCAAAATAGTCACTAGGGCTTCATTCTCCTGGGCTGTTTGGCGTATGACCACGGGAAGCGTAAGCGATGGTGAAGTGGGGTAATATACAGTACCGACAAATGGTGGTAGGAGACTCAGAATCACAGCGTGCGGTGGAACTTGAGCGACCCATTAGTGTTGCTGCTGGAGCAGAGTCGAGTGTAAAGGCTACTTAGGAGAATGAGCTCACGCAAACCGCACGAAAATTGACTGACTTGGTAAGGAGTACGAATAGAAGTCACCGAGATCTTTACATCCGATGGAAGGTTCGGCAGATTGGAATGAACCCCTCCCGATGGTGGCTGTGACAAATAAAGACTGATTGTGGTTGCCGGTAAGGGAACAAGTGGGCTAGAGTGCGCGGTTAAAGTAGGAAGTAAACCACTGCAGGTGTGCTATCAAACTAGGTATCACAGTGCCGTACCGTCGCCGCACTGAAATACTTCGGTTTCTGGATAGCCCCGTGACAGACGTCGTGACTGATGTAGTTAGGCTGAGATGCACAGTCCCGTGATCAGCGTTATGTGCGTCTGTCGGGGTATTTTCCAGGGTGAGCGTAACCAACGTAATGTTGCGCGTAGTATGTGTTTTTTCAGGTCGGAAATCCCTTCGTTCGTAATGCGCAGATCAGGTGGAGTGGACAACGGCCAAACAGGTCGCTTATAGCGCGTATTACCACGGGTTGAAGCTTGGGAAGATGAAATGAGATGAGGTCAATAAGGTCTGGAGAGTTATATGAGTCATCAGAGAGGATATAGTCCTTTAACAGGGGAGAAACTAAACGTCTATCATAGTTTTGGCGGTGACACCAAGTGGTTAAACAAGATAGCATAAGGATGGATTTGCACTCGGTAGTGTAGTCATCAAAGTCGAGCTAAGATTTCCAATATAACTATACTGCCTGGGACAGGACAATTCGTTGTATGTTGGATAAGGGGCGGTGCGGTGAGGGCAACTAAAGACGTAACGACTGGCTGGTTGTAAATTCTGAGATGGTGGACTAGATTTCCTGGAGGTTATTAAGGAGTTGGACGATACTAAGACAATCTAGGAGGGAAGGTGTATGTAAGGGAGATGTTCACCAGTCCCCGAAGCACTACTATCAGCTTTAGTCGATGAGTGGTGCTTGACGAACACCTCCGATGCTAGCCTTGCACGCTGATAGTGGAGTCTGGAGTATCACTCTGTTTATATGTTGTATGTGTCTACTCCTGGGAACAGCAAGTTGAAGTCTTTTTGTTTGGCTGATGAGGTGGGTTTTCTATACGGTGTAGCCTCGGTGTTGCCGAAGACAGCTACAGCCCTGCACTTCAACCTGAGCCATGGGCACCGCATAGTTTGTTCCGGCTATCCCGGGCATATTGTTTTTTGTTACTTTTGGATAGGCGAAAGACCAGTTTTTTGTTGTTGTGAAGGAAGCTACACGAGCTCGGGGTTATCCAACCCCTCCCGGTATTATCACCCACAACGGCACGGACTGCTATTTGCACCGGCATTCTGAAGCGCACTTATCTTTTGAGGAGGTGTGTACCTGTCAAGCATCCCTGCCCAAGGCTGAGCATCTTACAAAATGTATGCATTTTGCGAGTTAAAAGCCAAAGCCAGATGCATCTTAAGCTGCATCTCGGTAGGAAACGGAAATCAGTCAAACGGATGCGTATGGAGTCAAATGTGCCACCTCTGTTTCAGACAAGCTAGCTAAAGAATTATCGAACTTTTTGCCGGAAGATGTTCCTCTTGTAACAAGAGAGCCTTGCCAGGCTAACCAGGCTGACCAAATGTAAAGGCGTTCAAGAAAACAACCGAAAGTATCGTAACTCACTCAGTGAACCAGGCGAAGATTTTGTCCCCGAAGCAGCAAAAATCCAATGTTTGTCTATCAAGCTTCTACAAGACGGGGCTAAATTATTTTTTTTTGAAAAAATGAAAGTGGTTTGGCTTGCACAATGCTTTATTATCACCGGTCGTGTTGAAATAAACATTCCTTTTGAGATATGAATATTTCATTGAGGCAAATGACAGTTCCAAAACACCTGAGACTGAGAAAACTCACACCTTGTCTAAGGGGGTTAACAGACCAGCTGCCTGCATTGAACTGCTTTCAGGTTTCACCGTTCGCAGACCAGGTGCCCAGCTGCCCATGCTGTAGCGTTTGCAGCTTCATTCAAAGTGCGCGGGCG